ATTCTATCCCCACCACACTGAACTTCGCTTCGTTCGCTTTTCGAAAACGAATTTTAGTGCTAACGTGATTTGCATTTCTCAAACTTTTTCTGTGTAATTATGCAACAAACGTACCATTTGTGACCTAGAGAATATATTCTGAGCTATACGTTTCTTAAATTACTTTTTTGAGTTTCATCCAACTTAAAGTTAACTGTGTTTTTGCCTCAGCTTACTTTTCTGTTTGTTTCCAGTTTTTCCCGTATAGGCTAGTTCCAGTTGACCATAACCCGTTTTTATTCATTTTTGCCCGTTTTTAGTGTACTGTTTTTAGTTGTTTTTGGATTTTGCTAGCATATATAAAACAGTTTACGTCAACATAGTTATGAAAAATTCATACTAACGACCTGGATGCCGTTCTGCTGTTATATCTGGTATGCAGTGCGACAACTGTATAGGTTGGTTCCATGAAACGTGCACAGATCTCACAGTAACTGCTAACAACAGACTCAGTAAGTCGGATCATAGGTGGGTATGTGTCATGTACAACACAGATGCCTAAGTTTTGCTCAGTAACCTCATTGTCTTATTGGCACGTCTGGGGAACAAGTTATCAGCAAGCTTGTAAAAAGACAGTCATGAAACGGGCAGACAAAAAAGGACGCGCAATGGAAACAAGAAGAAGGATGCCGACAGATCTAATATCGATGGAGCATGCAATAGCACTGGTGATGAAGTGGTTAGACTCAACACCATCATAACGTCCACGGTTACAGAATCTCTCAGTAGATTAGAGTCTCCCAGCACAGGGTCCCTGAACAAAACGGTGGTCCCCAAACCTCTGTAGGTGATTGGACGCCCAATACCAAAGTTAAAAAGGACCAGGTGTCACTGTCTAAGAAGCTGAACATCCAAAGAATTGTAGGGAAATCAAATGGTTATTTGACCGCACAGTCTACCTCCAAGAATGTCCGTCTGGTCATCAAAGAGCCTAGGAATCGGAAGCGCGCATCTCTGATCTTCCCCTTAGTCCGCAGGAGAAAATGACAGGATGCTCTGGGGAGAGTTAGACAAGATGCTTGGAATTCCCAGAATGGAGCCTTTGACAGTCACACAGCTCACTTGGGGAAAGGAATCTAAGCATCAAAATCATCCGAGGCTACTTCGTGTAACACACAAGAATGCTACCGACGTAGAGGATATCCTACTAGCAAGTTACTCACTGAAATCTGATGGGAACGTAAGAACACTGCTTGATATACCGTATTCTGAGTGCGATCTCATCAGGAGTATCCCTAAGGAATCTCGCGAGACGTTTTTACGCGGAAGAAATATCATTGTGCAAGGTGTACCGGAAAACACGGACCCTGGTCACACAAACTCTGATATTAGGGAATGGAAATTCATCAAGCAATTCTTGAAGCTCAAACACATACTGACTCAACAAATGACGAGACTAGCTAAGAGAGACGGAGATGCTAGACCCCGACTAATTAAGGTATCTTTCCCAGCATTTCGTGCCAACAGACGTCGGTTGCCAACTGGAATCCATATGCACCCGGATAGACCACATAACACCAGGATCAAACACAAAGGCAAGTTGGAGCTGACCATTCCACTTGTGGAATGTCTTGATCATAAAAAAATATGTGAAGGACAGGGACTATCAAGTCGGAAAAGCTGGTGTAAGTAGGTTATCTGTCCATTCACATAAGGCTCATACAGACAAACAGGAAGGAGAAGCTTATGCGTGTCTAGTTGAAAGCATAAACTGCTTCTACACGAACGCCACGAGTCTGCCAAATAAAATGGATGAGCTATGTGAACTTAGCAATGCTAATAAGGCCTATATGATAGGAATATCTGAAACTTGGATATCTCAGTTTACGGACCAGGAGCTAGCGATGCCTGAGATGTCTTTGTTTTGCGATGACAGAAAAACAGGAATTGGGGGTAGAGTAGCCTTATACTTACAATCCTGTCTATAGGTACATCAAGTGCACAACCAAGAGTTGATCAATCTTGACGAATTCGTATGTTGCTCAGTAAGATTGTCTAACACTTCGAGGTGTCTAGTTAGGGTCATTTACAGGAAGCACACTGCTGAAATCGAGTACGACAATCGTATGCTGGAAAGATTTTCCTGCTCTACTCGTCTCCGATTCACTCATATTCTGATTCTAAGGGACTTCAGTCTTCTTAAAGTCAATTCCGCGGAACATAAGTATAATGGAGGTGAAAACTCAATTGAATATCGGTTCTTCGACCTTATTGAGGATCTGGGATTATTCGAAAGTGTGAACTCGGAAACTCGGAGAAACATTCAGGCGTCGTCGCGCCTAATCCGTGTATTTACAAACGAAGAATTTCTAGTTGACAACCTTTCAATCCTGACTTCCTTGGCGAAAAGCGGTCACGCCGCCATAGCCTTGAGTTATGTCAGTAAAACTTAGCTAAGATGTCCCATCAACAACAGACGCTGGAATTTCAAACGGTTGAATGTGTCAGGTTCATCGGACCAACTAATACAAGTGGATTAGGATGATCACATTCAACTTGATGTGTGTGCTCATTGGGATTTCTAACTCCACACGCTCTCATGAGTTACAAGGCAGTCTGTTCCGCAAATAATACCCATAATATACAAGCAACCTTCAGTCATCAAGAACCTTACTGTACGTTTGCTAAGCCGCGGTAAAATGTGATCGATAAACGAACCCACCAATAGTAAAGTGAAACGCCCACCACTACACTAACTTTTCTTGACCTTGTATGACTGTGTCCCGTTTATTCACCAACCGCAATTCGATGTTTATTATAAAACAATATTTGCCTTGTTGGCTCATTTTACTTACTCTCTAGCTACTGTTTGGTACGTTATTTATGTCTCCGTTTTTTCCTGTGTTTACAGACTGTACTTTTGTTTTGTACACTAACAGCGTTAATTTACGTTTTAGAAACAAATAAAGTTTATCGAGCCAAATTGCTTACTTGTTCTGACTTTGGCTGAACCAAGACCCTGTATTCGACAGTCTAGGGATTAGCTTAGAGTTGAATCTGTAGGAAATTGCTTTCTACGGCACTGCTGGGCGAAGGACAAACTAAATGATAACAACGGCGCGTACAGGCAATACAAATATATAAGGAACATATGCACGAAGGCTATAATAAAAGACAGGCTTCTGTAACCGATAAAGTTTATGTATACATTTATCTTCACTCCGAAAAGCTTATTCCGTTATGCAACCTCTCTTCGTCAAGCTAGGACTGGAGTTTCCCAACTGCTGGGTCTTAATGGTCAGACTAATAAGGACGGCGACGCCGCTAACCTTTTGGATGAACAATACTCTCTGACATATCAACCAACCCACATCAACTATACTGATGACAGCTTCATCTGCAACTGTACAGGACTTTCCGAAGTGAATCTGAGTGCTGACTTTGTGTTCCGGAAAAGAAAAGACACTTCTCCTGGCCCAAATATGGTTCATTCTGCTATACTTAAGGAAACAGCTTCAATCCTGGCAACACCGCTTAGCGTGAAGTTCTCAAACTCGCTAAGCCGAGGAAAACTACCGGAAATTTGGAAGCTGGCTCACATCACACCAATTTTCAAATGAGGAAGACGCAGCGGACCTTTAAGTTACTGACCGATGGCTCTTCTCTCTATACCTTCAAAAATTATGGAGTCCCTGATATGCGGTGGTATACACAACTATTTATTATCCCTAAACTTCTTTCCACTCCAACAGCATGGTTTCTGGAAGGGTCACTCTTGTATAACCAACATGCTGAGTGTGATGAACAGACTGACAACCATCCTTGATCGCAAGGAGAAGGTTGATGTCACTAACCTTGACTTCTCAAATGCTTTTGATAGGGTCAAATATATATGTCTTATCAATAGGCCCAAACGATTCGGTATGAAATCACATCTAACAGACTGGCTCACTTCATAAGGTAAAAGTTAAATTCACTTTATCTCAGGCTATGAAATGTTCTAGTGGGGTCTCCCAGAGCTCAGTACTAGGACCTCTTCGCTTTGGATTTATATAAACGATCCTCCACAGCAGGCATCGTCTGACTTATTACTTTTTGCTGATGATGTGAAACTTTGGAGAGAGATACGCAACCAAGACGATACACAGGCACTTCAGGAGGATCTGACTCGACTTCAAAGTTGGGCAGACAATAACGGACTTACCTTTAACATTTCAAAGTGTAAAGTAGTCCATCTGCGACATGTCGCAGACTACAGTTATAACTTAGGAAACTCCTCTCTAGTAGTATCCCAAGTCGAAAAACATATAGGAGTCCTGGTGCCCTACGATTTAGTCTTACGCTAACTGTGACAAAAATGCCTTCCGAGCAAACCTTGCACTGGTAACATTGAAGCGCATTTTTGGACAGTTTGACGGAAGAACTTTTCATATAATCTTCAATAGTTTCATCCGTCCCATTTAGAGTACGGAAACATAGTATTTCCTCCCTCATTCCAAAAGGATAAGGACACCCTGGAGCGTATCCAACGGCGAGCCACGAAATCAGTTCGAGGACTCAAATTTAAACCTTACGAACAGCGCCTCCATTCACTTACCCATTAGAGTATAGACGTCTTAGAGGTGGCCTTCTGATGGCTTATAGTATCCTTAACACTTCTGGACATCCTCTCAAACACCTACTTAAGCTTAGTTCCAACACTAACCTAAGAGATAACAACCAAAAACTGGAGACACAACATAGCAAAACGGACTGTAGACACAACTTCTACTCCTTAACAGTTGTGAAATGCTGGAATTCGCTATCGAGCGACCTAGTCCACGCGACTTCTCAGGAGTCCTATAAGAGGCAACTTGATCTATTCTTAAGGACTAAGGATAGTATCACACTATAGCTTACTAATTTCTTTTCCGCTTTTATTATTAACATACTTAGGTTCCTGCCTGGAGGATTTGGTGATCCCCTGCCACTAGACGCGGAAGTCTGTTAAGCGAAAGCTTATTCTATTCCGTCCACAATAATGTGAATCCCGGGCGGGCAGGTTAAACAACACGGGTAGCGCACCAATTGGATTTCGTGGTGACTTGCACATTTCCAGCCATGAACCTATTTAAACTTGGCAGGACCGTTTCTTATTGTTCGTTTTATAATGTCCTTTCAAAACCATATACTCAAATGGCAACAAATTTGGGAGCAGATAAGGATTTAGTCCCTCCTTCCTTTAGTGCTGATAATAAGGAGTATCCAAAACACATACATGAGATTGTAAATCGTATCAGTTCCCTAACATTATTAGAAGTCGCAGACTTGTCAGAACTGTTACAGAAAAAGTTAAACATCAAGGTGAGTTTGCAGTAACAAATAACGAAGTAACATAATTCTTTCACAATGATCTGAAGTCCTTGTATGAAGCATACTGCTCCGGCCATTTTTGCTTTTTAAAGACCTACTTGCCAGTATTTCTGATCTTAAGACTCAGCTATTTAAGGAATCATCAATGTCTTTGGTGTAAGCTCAAATCTCGTCACCACGGGGTGACGTGTTTGTCTATTACTATTCGTTTTATTATCGTTCGGTAGTTATTTTTTAACCATTTAGTTAAAGTCACGGTAGTATTTTGTTTATCTTTCGTTATACCAAAAATTAAACGCATTAACTCTGTTTCGTCTCTCCTATACACACGCTCCCTTCAAAGACATGTTAGTTTTGCATAGTTCATACTAGTTTACTTTTATAAAGTTTTCAATACGTTATCCGTAGATAGTTCTTATTGTATCTAAGACAAGTAACGGTAAGAATAACATTGTGTCGTGTACATATAGCAGACACTCGTTTGGTGCTTAAACCGCTGTATATATATCCCAGACTGTATGTTGCAGATGACTAGCTGGTTTCAATGCTGTCCGAAATACAGCATAACTTTTCTCGAAAGCTCAGGAAGTAATAAGGGAGAGTGTTAACGGATAATAAGTAATACATGAGAATTTACGATTTGTGAATGTGCCGAGTAGTGCCAAGAACATGTGACCTCGTTATGCAGTATGTCAGACGAAAAACTAACTTCGACATTAATCAAACGTGTGAAGAACAAGGAAGATCGGAAGACAAACTTGCACCAAGGCAAGTGATATTTGGGATAGTTTATCGTAGAATCTTCGATAGTACAAACTTCATACGATTCCAAAAGGGTGTTTGAGTGCTTTTCATGACTCAGGTTACAATAACTACTTGACATTCCGAAGTATTAAGTTTGAGAGCATTAATAATAGACCGTCGTACAATGTTTACCACGGAAAGACCGGTGTACATGCATAAAAACCGTTCACATACCTAACAGAAGTGCCCTTTGCAGAGGGTGGCAGACCACGCAGAGTAGAGGGAAAAGTAGGAGGGGAAAGAACAGTACCTTATGGTACACCCGCTTAAGCTAGTAATGAAGTAAAATATTTCCCTCCAAATACAGTATACTGTTCTCTTCCAGAGAAGTAAGAACGCAGCCAGTTGGTTATCCAGTTCTCAGTTTTAACGTTGGCGACCTTGCTTCGTGCTAGTGGTATTGAAACAGAATTGAAAGTGACAGTAGTCTCGAAATGCACATCGAATATAATTCCCACCCTTTACGAGGCTAAACACTATGGTGTAATGCAGAACCAATAGCAGTATCTAGGGTACTTCTTTCACATGTATAAACAAACTTATATGGGTCGGTAGGCTCATCCAGTTCAAGCCAAAGTGTGAGTAGTAGTTTCTCCATCGTCCTGAGGAAAGGTAAATTTATTATCACGGTTTTAAACTTTGGATCTCTATCATCAGATACGTTCTTGGGTATTGGGATTATTTTCATTATCCCCATCGTAAGTACAAAATTAGTAAAAGACGATTCCTTAAAGGTGCTCGTAAATGGGTGAGAGAGAATATAAACACATTTTAAAAGATTTAGGGTTTCGCTAGGTCCTGAACATTGCGAAGGGTTAATTGAAATCTTAGAACATGAGTTTCAATGAAACTTGCTACTTTCCCTCAAAATTGGAGAAACAGGACAAAACATCAGATGTTTGACGCGTAAAAGACTTATTCAAATCATAAACAGTTGGCTAAATGCCATCATTAATGCAATCGTTACCTGTAAGTTCCTCAAATAGTTCCCAAATATCTGAAGGGTTTTTTCAGGTCCCTGAGCATAATCACATTCAGATTTCTGGTTTCTTGGCTTAGACTTTTCAGTCTTCAAACTTCAGCAGTTTTTCTTGTTCAGCCATTCCTCACTCAAGGGTTTTCTACTGATCTAAGCAATCTAGCTGAGAATTGGACATTATAGGTTACCACAAACTCCCAATTCTGTTGTGTACCCTAACCTCCATCCAAGGATTCGCGTTGTAACATTAGTATACTCCATGTAGTGTTTCACTGTTTAACACTTTTGTGTACTGCTAGTGAGCTGTGCTCGTATTACTTTATTTACTTTTTCCGATCAAAGTCACTTCGATCATATCCGATTTTTTCTTAATGAAGCACTCATACTGTAAGTAATTATGCTCAAACTATTCCATTCCTTTTAGTGCTGTACCCTGACTTAGGTGGTTTAATTGCAGAGTATTCAATGTCGTCTTGGCAACGCCATTTCATCCCTTTTTCTTTTGTGCCTATGTAGAATACCGGGCCCATGATGCCTATGATGGTTCAAGCGCCAACAAACCAACCTCCCGAAGAGCCTGAAGAACAACAAGCGCCTACGAAAACTGCATTTTCAGTCAAGCTAGTGAAATTTGATGCAGCAAAAAAAATCCAACTTATTAAAGAGATCAAACAAGTTATTCCAGAGATGAATCTTGTACAAGCTAAAAAGTTCGTAGAAGTAAGTCCAAGTTAGCAGCACAGCAGTTGTTTAATTTTCGACACCTTATGGTGTTTATCAGTCCGTCTGCCTGCTTCTTTACGTCAGTGCAACGGTAAGAAGTGAGTGTAAAAGTGTACATAAAATTAAGGACAGTAGCAAAAAGCTTTATAAAAAGCAAAAAGGACAAGAGAAATCGGGGGAAGAGCAGCTTGGAATGTTATTTAGGGCTTGCATATAGTTACAGTGAATGTATGTGTAGCCAACTTTTAATCATATCATCTACAGTCCCCGATACATGGGTGATAGCTAGTGAATCGCACAGGGATGATGTAACTAGGCATGCGTAGCACATGCCTCGACTACCTTGTCATTCGACTAGGCACTTTTATTTAGTTACTTTATTCTGTAGAAAAGCGCACATTTATATTGTGTCAAGTATTGCTATTGATCAAAAAACTAGTAACAGTTGGATGCACTAGACAACCACTCTAGATTTAAAAGTACCCACCCACATAGTTTTCTAATATTAATGCAGCTAATCCGCTTTTTTAAATACACTCAATAGCGTGTTATATTTACACACTGCTAGCTTAAAAAAATTAATAACCTTGATTATTTCTTTTAGAGTGCACCTGCCAATATAAAGACTGATGTGAGCAAGGACGAAGCTGAGCAAATAAAGAAAGTATTGGAAGAGGTTGGAGCGTCTATTGCAATTGAATGAACAATATCATACACAGACAAAAAATAGATACTGTCCAAATTAAAAATTAATAGTGCATTGTTGTTATCAAATATTAGACATCCCTCTCAAAGCCAGGTACCCATTAACGACATGCTGAGGCAAATAACGTATTCTTTTAAACTCGGAACAAGTTGCATAATTTAGTTTTGTCAATGGATCTGTATAAGCGGTTGGTATCCCACTTAAATCAGAAACTTTCATAGGTGGACAAATGCGTGGTGGTGCATTTAGATGATTGTAAAGAACAGCATCTGGTGAATAGCTAACCTGCAGTTGAAAACAAATGAATATTAGTCTAGAAAGTAATAGATTTAATAGCGTGTGAGTTTATTTATTAGAAAGTGGGTTTCGGCGATTCTATGGATGAACGGTAATCTACATACCGCCCAAAACAGAATCACTATGAATTCATGACCTAATAATGAGTAGTTGAATACCCAAACCACCGGTGGATCGCCTTACGTAGCAATGTTTTAACAAGCTTTCGTTCCAGATTGTATTAACCGATAGAGTATATGTTCTCTGCAACAGAAATGAATAATCGGGAGGAAAATTTTCAACGGGAGTTACCGCAACAAACAATAAATCGGGGTCGATGCATATAGTATGTTCAATCGAGTTTACATTGGTCGGGTAGGCACGCGTGTTATAAGCCAATAGTCTTACTTAGCAAATGCGAAGCATCACGGTACTCTTAAAGCTGTCACAGGAAACTGGATTTTGCCAGTGTTTGCTTCACATCACTATGTCGGTCAGAGATCAATTGCAGTAGAACCAGAGGTTGACAGACACTTGCTGGTAATTTCATAATAGTTGCTTAGTCTGAAAGTTATTTTACTTACACAGGAGCAAACAGGTACAAAAACTAGCCCTCAAAACATGGGTATACTAGAACGTACTTATTCATTTAATTACACTGATTTATTGAATCGTCATATAGCGCAGTAGAGAGAAATCCTCTCATGCCCGTAATTTCATAGTTAATCAACAGAAACATCCTAAAATTAGCGTCGTTCATGTGTCAATAAATTCCCATATTTTATGTTACGCTAACTCAACAATACAAACGAGAATTTGCGACGTTACATTCAAGATTAGATAGATTAACTATGTTACTAGATACTTCATAACATAGACTTCTCCAGCTTGGTTTTGATGCTTTTTGCGCAACGAATAGAAGCTTAGTTCCACTACATGATGGTTTTCAGATGAAAATGAACTGGATGGATTTATGTATAAATTGATGCAACTGTTGAGTGTTACATGTGACCAACAGATAAGCGAAAGTTCTGTGTGGATTTAATAACTAATTTGCAACGATATTCCAAAGGACAACCCACCATGTGAGCACTTGACTCGGTTGATTTATCAATCTAATCTAGTTACAAACTCATGAATCTAGATAAATTAGCTAGACTACTTATACAATGTTCGCGTGTGCGGAGATGTTACACGACAAGAATTGAACCTGCTTGGAATGCATTTCTTGATAATTAAAAAGCAATACGTGGCTACAATACAATCGGATGGTTAATAAATTTGACTTTTACAACAATACCTGCAGACAGCAGAAGTACCTAGTTTCAGTGCTATCCTTGGCCATAAATCCAGTTAATTTCGACAGGAAACAATTCTTGATTCCGACATCAGAGATATTAGTGTTTGAGCGAAAGAATAATCTAGTGCAACGACAATAAGCTTATCAGCTTTATGGTGCGTAATAAAGTAGATTTTAAGTACTGATCATACTACTTTATGTGAGAAAAACAATCCAGTACTACGGAGAGCTGATATAGTTACAACTTATTAAAACTGACAAACATTGATCTTTTATTGGTAAGCGTTTGGTTGAGATAGGTAAAAGAATTAGCTTAGATTTAACCTCTCTAATTTCATGCCGAAGTGATCTGGGGTGGTGCTTGGGTTTGTTGGAAAGTCAAACTAAGAAAAATTCAATCGTGTTTAAGAGTAGTTGATACTTGCGCTAAACATACCCTGGTAATATAGGCTTCAATGTAGCATCTAGAGTGGCGTGCCGTGCATTCCTTTTTGTTCCGTCTGCTAGTCTGACCTTCATTTGACGTTTACAAGTTGGTGTGTGATCACTTAATATTTCATCATGCTAAGTCGATCGAATGGTTTTGTTATTTTAAATCCATATATCTCCCATGAGAAGCAGAGATTATTTAGTGCTGGGTATTTTTATATACGATGGGAAACGCAAATTACTAACTAGAATTAGAAGTGCTAAATATAAATCTTACTTGAGATTCCGCGTTTAAAACCTGTTTGATACCTTTGAAATTTATTTTCTTTCGCTCGAACTGTTTGGAACTATATTGTTCTGAGACTGCCATTTTGATAAAGTGAAATATCGAAAATAAGTTGGCGGTGTATCTGGAATAAGAAGAGATATCCACCTATTAAATTTTGGATAGGAGTTTTAAATCGAAATAAATAGGGATCCTTATTAATTCGCAGCCAAGTTAAGCACCCAAGACGGCCAACAGCGTTCACACTAAAAACCCAAGTTTAGCGCTGATACATCCGATAATTTTAATAACCAAATGAGTTTATTGTAAATAAGGTCAAACATATCTTATTACTGTCAAACGTATAGATGCCTAGCGCCCCAAAACAAGGTTAGCATTGTGAAGTATTAATAGCAGAAACAAAAAGTGCAATACGACGAAGATGCTTACTGGTAAACTAGTCCAGACCAGTGTTGCTGAATGTAAGTAGTGGGTCAACACTTTTTGGTTAAATGCAGTTAAAACATCTTATCCTGGAGAACCAAAAAGATTTGATATTGATAGATTCGCCACCTTGAAGTTTGATTGCTGAACCCAGAAGATAACTCAGTCTAAGGCAATACTGTTTTTTCTTCAATTTTGTAGAGTTGGCTACGTATTAATTCAACTCTTACCCAAAACAAGAGCCGCTGGAAATGACTTGTCCAGATGACGTTTCCAACTTCCCATAGAACCCTCGACAGAGCAGAATTACTACAGACATGGAGTACCCGTTAAAATCATTTACTTATTTAAACATGAATTATTCGGTTTATGTGAGGGCTGGGATACTGCCCTGGTGCCCAAACCGAAGCAGGTAGTTTTCTTAGGGGACTACACTCCGGACTTCTGACCTACAGGTCTAATGTACAAGGAAGCGCAGCAACGTAAGGAGATGAAGTCCCATTGTAGCCGGTGGCCGACAATTGTCAGTCAGTCATACGCCAATCGTTCCCTCACGACCCTGGAGCCCATGTGCACCATTCGTTTAGAATCAGGGTTTTCCAATTCCCTTAGGTGGATCCTACATATCCACCAGCCCGGTTGAAGCACCAGAAATTCGCTTTTTGTCCTCTCAATTTCGTAAATAACACCCCTGTTGTGGGAAGACAGTGAATATGACTTCCCTGGAAGTGGTTGTATGCACGTGGCCATATGAGAGCCTTTTAAGAGCTGCGTCTCCCCGCTCTCGGCCGAATCAGGGCATTTGGGGTTAGAATCATATTGAAGCTACAATCGATGGCATGACCTAATCTGTAATGTGTGATTGAATGTACATCTATTTAGCAACTCATTTTACACTTTAAAGTCACTGTATTAGCAACATTTATAGTTTAATAAATACCAGTTACATAAATTTTCATAATTAGCTATATTTTTATGGTACAAATTAGAGTACTGCATGCACTACACTATGACTGACCCATCAGCATAAAACTCTTCAAAACATTTTATGGAAGGATTTACACGGACCTTGTTTGCCGAAAGTTTTGTACAACCTCAATTGACTCATACATCAGGGAAGACCGCATAGGATAATGTATTTCGCATAATTGGAGTGGCTTGTTGACAACACCGCTGGAATAGATGTGGGTCAAACGCATAATCCCACTCCCAACTGGAAATCGATAGGTGCAATATGACATTTTTGGCATGATAGAAATTAGCAGACCACTGACTGATCACGGTATATTTTGAAGGAAGAGATAAACGGAAAATCAATCCCTAGAATTAGAGCACTTTATCAGTAACTACTAAGTGATATCCCAACCCAATCGGTTCTAACTGTATTGACTAATACAGTCCTTTTTCTGTGCGATAGATTGTCGTTTACCGACACTACGTAAATTTTGTGCAAGTGACTAAAATTTATAACGGTCGGGACAACAACAAATCACATGTTTTGTGAACATTCGAATGTTGTTCCTGCTCTACTGTGATCACAACTAGTATCCAATAATATGGAGACCTTTCCTTAAGAACTACACACTACGCCTTGCAAGACGTTGAGTACAAGAGATTACCAAGCAGAGAAACAAATAAAGGTATAGATTGGATGTAATTACCTACATTGATGTAGGTGCTATGGCAGCGTGCGTGAGGAAAGCTGCAAGAGCGATTGATAATAGAAAATATTGAGGTGTGACTACAATTTATAAACGACCCTTAAGTGACGCTGAAGTTACATGAGCTATGATGCCAAAACTCTAATTAGATAAATGTATGGATGAACTTCGCGCCGGAATTCGTGACTTGTTATCTTATATCTAATTCGTTTGTCTATAAATTACAGTCTGGCTAATGTTGGTCTGTAACTTAGTGAACGCAAGAAATGCACTAACATTTAATAGACGAAGTTAATACAAAACGATTAGCGATAAAAGTGAAAAATTACGATGTAACACGTGTAATCAGAAGTCACTGGAAGACGGGAAGACCTAAAGCCACAACACACACAATGTTAACTGAACACTTTACACCACAGAGAGAACGAGGAATGGAGGCCAATGGACGTTTATTTTAAAATTAAAATTCGCGGGTTCTGTACAGAAAGAGAGCTAGTTTACAAAACGGTCTTATGAGTCGTCCTGTAAGTTTAGTGCGTGCAGGGCTTGCTCTTCTTCTTCTAAAGCGTTTATTCTTCCTTGCCCTGCAATAGAAAGAAAACAAAATCCATTAACAGCATCATACATGATGATTTCAATCCCGTTACAACGATACGGATGAAAAACTACGCCTAGGTCAATTCTGTCTCAAAGACCTTGAGTGGCTTTGTTAAAAGTGGGGTCGGTTGAGTGCTTTACAGCTTTCATGCATTACTAAATTTTCACAACTCAGTGATCTGTAAAAATTTTAAAATCCTAAAACGTCTCCTAAAATCATTTCTCATGAGTAATCTTTCAATTCTGGTGCAATCACAACTATTGTCTCCGAGTTATTGCCATTTGGAAATCTGCCATTCTACACGCTACATTAAAGATCGTATA